CGTGAAACGTGTGAATGCCTGCAAATTTTACTATGGACTTACTCTAAAAACTTGTAACTTGTAAAAGCTCGTGAGAACGGAATAGGCTGCATGGGAGTATAAGTTTATCTAACATTTCGTTATTGATAATTATAATTAATGAAAACGTACGTCGGGCGCTGATATCCATTCCAAAAATTTTTATCCCGGCGCGCGATATATATGTATAAATATGTAGAGAACTTTGTCGAGTTTGTTCTTTCTCTCTTTTTCTGTTCTCTTTCGATGTTGCAAGAAAAAGAATATCGTAGCTTCAAGTAATCGAGGTGTAACTGTTCCTGTGAATAGTGTCTCATTACGTGATATGAACCAAAGTGAAGGCTCTGTCGAGAAGGCGTTGAGGGAAACGCGTAATGAATCAATGTGGAAAGCGAGCAGCAGTACACGTGTAGAATATGTAAATTGTATATAATTAAATTAATCTAACCACACATTCTGTAGATCTTTTTTGTTTTCTCTTTTTTATTTCCGTAGAGTGATAATTTAATTATATATTTGTTTCAATAATTGTTAATATTATGTTTAGAAAAGAATTAAGAATGTAATATTTGTTGGATATAATAATATATTATTATTATCACATTATTATACTCTCTTTCTCTAATACAGAGATTATTTATGATTATGGTAAACTAAACGGAGATCAATGAAATTTTTCTACTTTCCAAATTTAGTGCAATTTTTAATTTCGCAAATATAAAAAAATTATGAAAAAGTTTTTTTATTTTTATATATAAAATACAAGAATATTTTTTAACAGAATTGCGCCGAAACAATTGTTAAAAGAGCGCTACAATCTTTCTTAAGTTAATTTTGATGTGAATCATGTTATATATGAAAAATTTAAATAAGACGGATAGTTAATTTTTCTGTTGCGTTTCTTTCTGATTTACATATTCTACACGTAAATAGAGATGCTAGCAAATGAAATGATTGATATCTTTATCTCTACGAGAATTGTGTGAATATAATCGTTTCTCGTTATAAATATAACTATATTCGCGAAATACGTTCCTTCGATTTCCTCATTCAATTAAAGGACGAACAAGATACCTACCTCGTGCGCTTCATCTCTTCCTAGTTTATCTCGATTACCATAGCTCTGGAGCGTGGAAATTCGAATATCCATGTATGTAATTATATCGTACACGTTCGTATTTCTTACACAGTAGAAAATTCTATGATCTCGCGGCGTAAAAACGTGAATCGCGTTTTTCGAGAAGAAGCACGCCGACGCTTGTTCTTTTTCTTCCTTTTTTTCGTAATCGCAGTCACATTCAATTCAAATTATTTTATTTTAAATACAATTTAGATCGCTAAAAATATATTTTGGGATTTAGTTATGGGAAGAAATATTCTGTAACAGTGAGGAAATATATATGTAAATAAATTTATGTTTTAAGTAATATTTATGTTAACTCGCCACTCTTTTGACTGTAGAAATGATTAAAAGGCGGCAATCTATTACGATATTTACATTAATGTAATTTTATTATATATATAGCGTGGCCTAGATCACACATACTTTTCTTCTGAAAAGTTTTCTTCTTTGATTTAATTTTATTACAAAGAAAAATTACACTTTTATTTATGAGATCGATCGTATTATTTTTTTTCCGTATTAAAGTATTTATTTTCGTATTGAAGTCAAATTTTATGTAATCGAGGCGATCTACAGAAATGCGAGAGGATTTACTTTTTAATTGAAAGAGAGTAAATCTAAAAGCTTTATTTATAGATCAAATTGATTTATAAAAAGGAACGTCTTTTTTTGATAAAGATCGTTTCTTTCGTTTTACATTCACGACGATTTTCAAGATTTTTTTCGCGGCTCTCTCGGCTATTTCTTCATTTCCGCGCGAGAGAAGCGTATCCCAAAGAAAGAGAGAATCGCGTTTCCACTCGAGCCATTTGTATAAAGCGAGGACAAGTTCAATATATTTATTCCCGCGATAAAAGTAAGAAAACGAGCTCTATCTTCCTGTATATTAGAGAGAAAGAAAGAAAAGAAAGCAGGTGGAGGGAGAAAAATACGAAGAGATGTCAGAGCGACATGTCTCCGCGTGTATAAAATTCCGAGCGAGTGTCTCGCATCAAATAGAGATGCGTATTTTTTGAAAGGGGACGGGTCATTGAGATAGCGTCTAGCTCATGCACGTGTACTACTCGGATGCGCGTGTACTACTCGATTCATCGGTGATAGTCGGGCCTTTCGCCACCCAATTTAGTCGTACCAATCGCATTTATCATAGAGGGGTGCGTAGTCTTCATCGTTAAGGCAAATCCGAGGCGCGAACTTAAGGGAAGGAGCAGGAAAGAGAGAGAGAGAAAAGGGGAGTGCGTTTGAAGACGAGGATCGGAGTCGGTGTAATTTCGGCGAGCTTGATTTCCGATGTTCAAAGGTGTACGCGGATTGTCCGGAAAGGTTTCCACGATCGTCATCGGTAAGGACAGATCGAAGATTAGATCTCACCGAGATTCCACATCGGTTTCAGGTCTTAGCGTTTGCGGATTAAGGCGAGATTTCCCAAAGCTAGCTTCTTCAGGTACTTAAAGAGGTAGGAAAGGAGGGAAGAAGAAAGGGAGAGAGAAGAAGGAAAAAAAATAATGATAAAATAAAACAACCCGCTTTACACTGGCCGTCAGGCGATAACTTAAGAGTTTTTGTATCGTATGTTTGTTAAGACTACTGTTTTTGTCACTCACCCTACAGTATTCGAGAGAGAGAGAGAGAGAGAGAGAGAGAGAAAGAGAGAGAGAGAGAGAAGGAAGAGCGAGTGAAGGAGTGAAAGGAGATGCAAAAGGGAGAAAGAGAATCGAGAGAGTGTGCGAATGCTGTTATACGTCACTTTAGTATCATTAAAACGAGCGACGTAAAAAGTAAAAGGAAAGGAAAGGGGATGAATTTGCGAGCGAGCAAAGGGCGGAAGAAAAAAGAGTGAGAGAGACTCGGAGGACGAGCAAACGGCCGTACACCGCAAAATGTACATTCATTAAGCTATGTCGTCTAGCACAAATCAGTCGAAATAATTGGAGCGATCAGATTGTGAGGGGAGAACCGAGGGCGAGTGTGTGAATGTAAGAACGCGAAACTGATCGCGGAGAACGATCGTCGTAGCGAACGCGAAAAAAAAAAAGATGCGCTCCTGTGTATGTACATAATGAACGATAGGAAAATGATGCGAGGGGAACATTAGACGGTACATCGCTATACATACGCGTTGAATCCCAATATAGCACAGAATTTGCAGGAATATCGCTGCAATATTGCTGCAACTTTTATGCAACTTTGTGCTGTAGGGGATGTTGTTGGGCGCATTCAATATTAGGGACCGCGCGCTTCACTGAGCTCTTAGTGAGAAAAAAAAGAAAATATGTTTATTTGTTGTAATATTCGTAGAATAACTTATTTATTATAGTAGAGTAGATAATCTTTAATATTATGTTTCTTATTTTATATTGTTTATTATTTTTTTTAGACCGCACTTTCATGGCTTTACAGAAATAATCAATAATAAGTAAGAAATAATAATATTGAAGAAGAATTATCATTATTATAATTAATAAATATTCTACATTACGAATATTATAACAAATAAACATATTAATTCCTTTCTTGCTTACTGAGCAGTCCGTAGTACTGAATGCACACATTGAAAATCCGAATGTCCCTCAAAAACGAAATCCATTGCGAAGGGACATAGCCTTTCGCGATCTCGAGAAGAAATGTTTCTCGGAGATCGTTGCGAAGAGTTTTTATGTAAAAGGAACCGTGCACCATTCTGATTAATCTACAAGATTAATTATTTTATATTAGAGGTATCTGAATGGTATCCTTACTCCTTGTTTTTGTTGTTAGTCATAGGAACAGCAATATGCTGTAAATTATTTTTATCGAAATGGCATCGTACTTCCCTCTAGAAAGAATCAAGCTTAGTTTTTCATATAAGGGTGCTCTTTGGGACTTTTTACATAAAATCCATTCGACTGGTATTCGCGTATATATTGTGGGCAAGAGATCGATGCACAAATTAAAATCGCAACTAATGGGAGAGATTGTCGTGTAATAAAACAGCGACGAAACAATTTGCCGTATTTCGCTCGCGGAAAAAGAAGATACTCTGTAAATAAGGTTTTGTTTTGCGAAGCGACTTCGCAACTTTTTTCATCATATTGCACTTGCAGATGACGAGTTTTTGCCTCGTATCTCAAAAATCCAAAGCTTAAAATCCAAGCGCAATCGTTACAACCTATTTTTGTTTGCTGTACGATAAAAGAATTACGAAGTTATTTAAATAAGATTCGATAAATGCGCGATGAAAATATGGTTTGCTTCCCACCGAATCTCTAAATCTCTCAGGCTAAATTATACGATAAGTATGATAAAGGAAAATGTAGAGCCACTTTATTATATTATTCTCTTAAATCTGAAATAACTTATTCAGAAATTTAGGACATTTTGTATGTTCAATTTTTAAGTAACGTCAAAATATAGAATAATATTTCTGTAGTATTTTTCTAAGAATTGGCAAAAGATAATAACTTTTATATTGGTTTTCAACATAACGTAAACTATATATAATACTATATATATGTATATGTTATATAATTTCAAGAAAAACGTGTTTGCATTACTAAAGATTAATGAAATCGATATGTTATGAAAAATTAGAATTTAAGCATTTTTCGTCCTTAATACTCGGCAGAACTATACAGATGAAGTGCGAGGCCCGATGCGAAAAGCTGTTGGGTCGTTTTGCGAGGAGTTCGGGTTTCAGAAACGTTCCATGGTTCACTGATAAAAATGATAAAATCGCACACAGCAGTAGTCGCCCCATCCTATGGTTTTTGTTTTTATGAAGATTATGAAATGAGAGAACGAGAGGGAGGAACAGAGAGAAACATAGAAAGGGAGAGAAAGATGAAAATACTCCTTGGATATGACTGTACAGCGTATTAACTTGTCCGGAGGTACATATATCGGGGATCCTTTTTCAAAACTGAAGTATTAAGGATTGCATATTGTACATAAACAAGACATATTTTCTATATAAGGGACGTCGCTCGGTAAAAAGGCCGATGGCTCGAAAAATACTGCAATATTATGATAATTCTTTCAAGCGGTAGGATAGCCTTTAATCGTTTTATGTAATGTAATGATAGAAAAAGAGAGTCTGGCAGAATAAAAGTGAAAGTTCTGTATTTAAATATCCTGTCGGTGTACATTCATTCACATATACACATAGACACGCAGATGCGTCGCATCCCAAAATACAGGAGCGATTTGGTGATCAAGAGCATTTAATTACATTTACTTATATACATTTACATAAATCGAAAGCTTCAGATTGTATCATGACACACTACAAAAATTATCGGCTTCAACTCAATCGACAGATCATGATATGATCTGTATTGCATGCAGGTAATTCTGAATTTCTTGTAACGTCTATCGAACCCGGAATGAAGAAACCAACAGAATTTGATAACTTAGAAGGAGCGAAATAATTGAACAAGTTCGATTATTCCTTTTGGCACTGAGATGTAATCGAATGATCTCAAAATGTAGGATTTAAACAGGCTAAAATGTAATGTACAAGATTTAAAGATTAGAATCCGTTCGTTGTGTAATCGCGTATATTTATTAGCGCGTGTACTTATTAGTAGATATTAACCTTTTTTGAGAAAGATAAAATGTAACAATAATTTATAATACCTCTCTTAAGTTTTGTATCCCTTATACATGTGAGTAAAAGAGTTACAGCTGATGTTTATATATAAGGAAAATATTTATTTATACGTTATATATACATCAAGTACTTTCTGAAACGTTAGCATTTTCTTTTTCATGCTCTTTCCGTTGACTTTCCACTTCCTGCAACAAAGAAAAGTTTCGATTGTCGTAATCGAGTGTCAAATCTAAAGACTAAAATAAATCACTAAATTTTGCAAGCGTATTTCTTCAATAACCAGAAGACATACTCTCTGAATAAGGTCCAGCAACGTCACATTATCTCTTGATTGGAAAAACTCGCTGATCTCTTGCGGAATACAAAATTGCATTGGCGGCTTTGGCTGAATACCTATTTCCTCCCCAATAAAACGGAATTCTGGCGTGTTTTCAATATGATTTAGCAATTCGTCATACGTGAAAAGTGTTTCCTTCGTAGATGCTACATCCATTGCACCAAAATCTATTATTTTTACTTTATCTTTCTTATATCGTATAACATCGAAGGAATCTGTCAAAATTAATTCTATGAGTTAATAAAAATTCGAATATCGTTACTAATTTTACTATTCTACCTACAATTACGCAATGGAAATCTGCCTTTGATGCGCTCTAAAAACAAGCTCTTGATATCCGTCTGTATGTCATATTTTTGTGACTCGTTGGAACTATGGTACTGCGATATATCTCTCTGACTTATAGCTGCGTAAAATATGATTTGTTATCGCAAAAGTTAACTTTGTAAAAGCAAAAAAAGAATCACATTTAATAAAATTTGACAATTAAGAAAAAGAAAACTAAGTTGATAAGTTACCAATGAGTTCGTTATCTATAACAAAGCAGCGAAATTCTGTGCAAGGATTAATATCCCGCCATTGTTTCAACACTAGACAGAATGGCAAAGGCTTTTCGCAGTCCTTTGAAGATTTTACGATGTTCAGATCTTTGGCAATCCTATCAGAGCTTTTCAATAACAAATAGATCTCTTCTAGCGTGTTACATTTGAGAGTTTTTGTGGGCGCAACCCACATAGCATCCTGTAACATAATTACGATTACATATTATAAATTATACTATAATTTTCTTTTTACAATATTCTTTTCTTAATATAAATCATGTTATAATTACATTAAAGCTATTATTACAAAATTATACTACTGTTATATTCTTATTAATATAACAGAAAATTTATGAACAAGCTATTTGATTCATCAAATGTAAAGTTATTTTAGAAAAGGAATTTTTGGTTTTTACTGCACATGGTACTTTTTTTATGTTAACATACTGCTTATTTATATTTTCTGAAAAATAGGAATTTTAGAAGAAATGTTTGCGAAATAAAAATATAGAAATGGTAGAAAATAATTTACCGCAGGTGTACTCCAATTTGTTTTGACAAATACTGCATCGTATTCATCTAATATTTCCTGTATTTGTTGACTAAATTCAGGGAATGTCGGTTGATAATCCGTTTCCTAAAAAAAATTTACATATTATTATTGATTATATATATAAATTTAAAATAAAGATTATAATTCTATTATTTTTCAAAATATATTAATAAATACTTCTTCTTCGCATGTTACTGGTGATCCGTCAGCCCATTCAGAATCCTTCGGTAAAGATTTCGCTGCCTCAAGAGGCAATACAAATGTATCATGCTCCAAATATTTTAAAACCTCATCGGGAATATGAAGAATTCTAGCCTCTAAGGAATCTTTCTTGAATATTGGATACCAAGAAGAAAAGGAGCACTCTAGTTTTAAATCATTCACCATTTTTCTCAGATGTTTTGTAATTTATACGAAATTATGTTTTATAAAAGATTATTGGAATCTCATTAAATTTTCATCAACTTAACCACAAATTGATCTTCCTGGAACAGATTTGGTGCAATTTATTGTAGAATCAAATCAATTACCAGAGGGTTCTGCTGGGTTACATGACATAGGATATGGTCAACGCGATGCTACAAAAACTTTAAAGCACTTTTGATTGGTCAATTTGTAAAATTCTTTTTTCTAATTGGTCAACCAAACACTTCAAAGCATTTGTAGTGAGATTTTGATAGCAGACATAGAATCACTATAATCAGAATCAAACAAAATCGATTCGTCTCGGAATTAGTGCTGGGTTCGTTCGATGGTTAGTCAAAACGTGAGTTGTGTAATGTACTCCGTATGTGTAAGAGGCTCCGCACAATAAAAAGAACAGAGAACAGAGAATAAGAATTTCAACCTATCAGAAATCATATTGTGAAATACACAGTTTCTGATAGGTTGAAATTCTTATTCTGTGTTCTTTGTTCCCTGTTCCTTTTATTGTGCGAAGCCCCTAATACTTTTTGCGCATACATGCGTTTATACAAGAAAGCAATATCTGTTGTCTCTTTCTATCCGCCATATTTGGTCCACATTCACTAAACTTTTAACGTATTCGACCCGAGCGAATTTGTACCAACGTAGGTTGGATTAATGACTTTGTATTGGTGGAATATAGTAACGTTAAGCAATAGAACATTATTTAACCCAAATGGGAGCAAATCCGTTCGGGTCGAAAACATATTTATATTTGAATATAGGATCTCTAAGTAGAGTAACTAGAGTAACTAGAGTCCTCTTTCTAGGGATTCTAACTGTCACTGGACATTCTCATATGTTTTGCGTCCTGCTCCGCGAGGAGGCAGCGCGACGCTCGTGATGAACGAGACTGAGCGAGACATCCGGATTAACGATCTTATTCTCCTTTTCTTTTTCTCTCATTGCATATATCCGCTCTGATCCGCTCGCCCCTTTGACTTCTTTAGTACCGTTCGTTCTGTCCAGTTCTATCAAATTCCGGCAAAAAAGGGTTTGAGTAGGGCCCGTGCGCGAGGAGTTGTGAGTGTGGGTCGCGTGCGGGGCGGGGCAGATTTTTTTACGCGAATTTCGTCGGTGTCGATCGTCAAGGAAAATGAATTGATCGGTTCGCGTCCGATATATCGTAGATTTATAATTTATTCGCCGATATCCTCGCACCAATTGTCACATCCGTGTAATCCGATCAGCTCCGAAGGTAGGCAACCATCGAGGGAGAGACAACCATGGAGGACGATCTGCCGACCGAATACGATGTGATCGTCGTAGGAACAGGTATTGATTCTTATCATGACGGGCGAAATGGTTGCGCGTCGCGTTCATAAGCAGAAACTAAAACTTTTTCACCGGTAATTCTCGCTGTCATGATTTCCGACAGGTATGACCGAGTCCATTGTCGCCGCGGCGGCAAGCAGGATCGGCAAGAGGGTTCTACATCTGGACAGGTAACAACCAGGTGTTTGGAGTATCTTTTCCTTTCTGCATTTGTCACCTGCTAATCATATGTACAGTTTAAAATATGTTTGATATATAAGCTTATGAAGACAATCATCAATATTTAATATTTTTCTTATTTATTTTTAATATTTATGTTAGTATTTATATTTAATATTAGTATTTATTATTTTATTAAATCTTTGAAAGAATTGCCAGAATTGTATAAAATAATTTTGATATGCTGTCAATGTGTTTATTATTAAATATAATTATTTCTAAATAATCTTAATAGTGCCAGAATTATACAAAAGATAATCTCTCTTGCTTAATCATTAGAAGAAAAGTAAGAAAATAAAGAAATATTTTGATTAAATTTTTATCGTGCATTTTTGTTGAAAGATAAAACGATTTCTTTTATCTTTCCTGATTTGATATGATAAACTGTTTGTAATCAAGATAATATTCATGCATATTATTATTATTAATTAAAATTTTTATTTGTTTAGCAACGAATATTATGGAGGACTGTGGGCTACATTTAATTTTGATGGTTTACAAAAATGGATAGAAGATTTAAAAACGGTTAGATTTGATAGGAGTACTAGGAATACAAATGTCGATTTGAAAACGAACGAAAAATTTTTGAATGCTAGTAACCAATATTTCATAGTCGAGAACATTGAAGAAATCTGGTATATTTCCAAGTAAGAAATGATCTGCATAAATTGACCGTTTAACAATTTTAGATAATATTCTTGTGTATTCTGACTAGTTCTCTTTTTATGCAGTGATGCAGACCTGCCTGATGTATCTTCAAAAGATACCCAGACTGAGGGTTCTGGAGATAGTGCCCTCGAGGGTGCGGAAAAGACTGATCAGGACAAGGCTGATAAAAAGGAAAATGTGAAACAATGGAGCATAGACCGTATCAAGAAGGAATACAGAAGATTTAATATCGATCTGGCGCCTAAAGTAAGATTGTATATAGTCACTTATTTATAGACACATTATTCTTAATGTACATGTAGTATGTGATTCTTATTGCAGCTATTATTCGCTCGTGGTGAATTAGTAGAACTGTTGATTTCCAGCAACATTGCACGTTATGCCGAATTTCGTGCGGTCTCTAGAGTTGCTACTTTTATGGACGGTAAACTTACGCAAGTCCCTTGCTCCCGTGCCGATGTATTCGCTAACAAAACGGTTAGCGTAATCGAGAAAAGAATGTTGATGCAGCTTTTGACATCTTGCATGGAACAAGGCGCCGATAGTCCAGAATTTGATGGTGCGTGTCGCATGCAAATGTATCGGATAAGGATACATTTTCTTATTTATTTTTTCTTATTTATTTAATTTTTTATTAATAATAATAATGTATTCCTTTTATTTTTTAGGTTTCCGTGATAAAACGTTCTTGGAATATCTTAATACGAAAAATCTTACGCCTATAGTACAGCATTATGTTATGCAAGCTATTGCAATGGCAACGGATAGAACGTCATGTAGAGACGGTGTTAATCGTACGAAGCATTTTCTCAATAGTCTTGGACGTTATGGAAATACGCCTTTCTTATGGCCTATGTATGGAAGCGGAGAACTGCCTCAATGTTTCTGCAGGTGCATTCCTAAAAACACAAAACTCCGAAATTTTTTCTATATTTTATGTCTAAAACTAACATTTTCCAACTGATATTTTTTAGATTATGTGCAGTCTTTGGTGGAATTTATTGCTTAAAAAGACAATTAGACGGTGTAGTAGTTAACGAGAGTAAATGCAAGGCCATTATCAGTGGAAAACAGAGATTGACTTTGGAGCATTTAGTCGTAGGGCAAGGACACTTGCCACCAGAAATCGTAGCCTCTGAGGCAGAAAATCAAATTTCGCGCGGAATTTTCATTACTGACAGGTATTTTCTTCATCCAGATTTTATACAATTTAAAAGATATGTATATGCGTACAGTATATTTTATCAGACATATTATTTTTCGTTATTTATAGGTCAATTATGCAAGGTGAGAAAGAAAGTTTAACTCTTTTGTATTATCCGCCGGAAAAACCAGATCAAGAAGCCGTTACTCTAATTGAATTGGGACCATCTACTAATGCTTGCCCTCAAGGCTTATGTATGTATGACATCAATAGAAATATAATATATTTCAGAATTGATTTGATTTATGTCCATATCGTACTTTTTTTTTCTTTAGTCATAGTTCATATGACATGCAAATGTACTAAGAATGCAAAGGAGGATCTAGCATATGTTGTGAATAAGTTCCTCAGAGCAGAACCGCTTGATCCCAATGCTGTGCGTAGTTCTTCTGATTCTCATACTCAAACAGTTTCTCCTGATAAACGACATCTTCAGGTAAAGTGTCTTTATAAAAATTGTTAATATAAAATTAAATCTCTTATAAGAGGTAAAATATAAAAAATCAGAATCGTGAGCAAAAGCAAATATTCTTTTTTATTGAATAATTACATTAGGATGATCGACAAGAGAAAGAAGAATCTGAGTATCCATTACCCCAAGTATTATGGTCTTTATATTTGAATTTACCTGGAAGCGACAATAGACTAAGTGTTTTTGCGCCAAGTAATATACACTTATGTTCTGGACCGGATCTTGAACTTGATTTTGACTTTGCTGTGAATCAGGTATATAATATGAGATTATATTAATAATTATATATATAAAATATAATTTAAAAAATTATTGTTCTAAATATTTTGTAGTTTTATATTATTTTTGAGATAAATATATTTACTACAAAATGGTATCAGTTTTAAAACTAATTTTGGAAAATGATAAATGAAATACTTTGATAAATGGTACTTTTTAAAATTGCACTGTACATAACTCTTTAGAATTTTTATTTTTTGCTTCCAGGCTAAGAACATTTTCAAGTCTATGTATCCAGATGAGGACTTTTTGCCACGCGCGCCTGATCCAGAGGAAATTGTTCTGGAAGGTGATGAAGCACCAGGCCCAAAATTCGAGGGTGGTGATATTGTAGAGGGTGAGGAGAAGCAAGATGTCGAAAAGGCCGAAAAAGAAGAATGAACAACTATCATATAATGATAGTATAATGCTTTTGCATCTCTATTGTCGAAAAGCAGATAAGGCTTTTGCGCCTTTAGTGTCTTTTATCTTCATCGTTATTGCATTTCCTTATAAATATATTCGAAAAAAAAGAAAAAAAACGAGCATGAGATACAGATTGCGAGACAGTAGTAACGAGAAGCTTTATGGCATTAACATTATTTTTTAATTGTTCGTACACTTTTACACATTGCTTTTTGTCCCTTCAGAATATTTTCGTTGTTGAATCGCTTATTTCTGATTCATCTCTCACCTATACAAATGCAGTGCTTTCGCATTTCACATTTTACTAATAAAAGTGAGCTTTGGCAAAGAAGACACAGACTCGTTAGAAGAGCACAAGTGCGTTTACAATGGTGAAAAGTTTATGAAATTATATCACTGGATTGATATATTGCGATTCACACGTTATATATATAATATATATGTATTTTTTATTTAATAATTTTTTGTGTATAATTAAACAGCGAGAAGAAAATGCAGATGCATATTGAAATTCATTCTAGATAGACGTAGCGCTCGTAATCACTAGACTCAGAACATACCTTATACACAGTATATTATCAGCAAAGATAAGAATGGGAAGATATGTGGCGTCACGCTTTGATACTTTAGTAGATATTGACAGCATTGCATACCGTAATTTACATATAAAGTATTGTATGTGCACGAGCCATTAGTCATTTAGATAGACATCGTGACATATTGGAATTGATAGTTTGTATTACACGCATTATACATAAATGGATATTCTATCTTTAATGCGTCATGATATATCTGTAATAAACATGAGAAACAAACATAACTCGATTTAAGTGAATAATTTGACGTAAAGTGAATGTTTTGACGTAATTGTCTTTAGTGGTTTGGAATAATTTTATCGGTGATTTTATTGTATTGTATTCATATTTATCAAATGAAAAGAAAGGCATCAGTTATTTTAGCGAATTTTGACGCGATTGTATTCATCTGATTTGTTTCCGGTTTAAACAACAAAATTTTAGTATCTTTATTTTCAAACATAAATCTTTCAATTTATCGCTCACACATTCCATAATTTATGTTTACGAAGAAATAATATCTTATTCACTTGTTCAAGGCTGATAACATTTCCTTTTTCATTTTAATATTTATCGTCTCGGATAATGTATAAGATAATTATTTTAAGATATACATGTTTTATAATTGTTTTATATTTTACAGATATTTGTGTAATTTTTTTTTCTTTCATTATTGTATATTTATAAAAGACCGGAAAAAATTGATTTGGATTTACAATATGATTATTTATTAATTTTTTTAGATATAAAATTCGTATATACTTTTATATTTGTATTAGAACATAACTTCATAAAGATAGAATGAATGAATTTGTTATCCTTTTATTTCATATTTTTAATAAAATTGAACAAATATATACATACATATATCCAGCATTCATAATATAATTCAATAATATAATATCAAAGATTAATCATACAGTTCAAAATTAAAGATTTTTATAGTTTTCAACAGATTTAATTTTAACTTACAATTTCTTTACATTTGAGAAATTACTTATTTATATTAGCATTTATTTAAATATTATACTACTATATTTAGCATTTTTAAGTATTGTAGCATCCTTTATCAAAGTTGTGTATTATTTTCATTAATATATATTTACTTTTATTTATATACATTTTTTATACGGCATATAAAAAATAAAATTATGATAAATTATATAACCTGTTGTCGATTATATATTATATATATATATATATATATATAATTGTAATAAACTTAATATTATTTTTATTTATTTCAATACATAAAATTGCTGGCAGTACATTCTTAACGCCACATGTCCTACAATATAAATTGCAGTCAACATTTAAAAATATAAGAGTGCACATAAAATTTACTACATATGTAATTATCTTGTAATCCAATTTAATTCAGTATCAATGAGTGTTTCTATCCATTAAAATATTCCCACATAAAATTCTCCGAGAAACGTCCTAGGGACATTTTTAGGACATCGCTTGAAAAACTGTGTTGTGGATTTTTTTAAATTAAAGATTAAAGAAAATAAATAAATACATTATGATAAAAAAAAATTATATATAATTGTATTTCTTATAAGTGTAATTTATAAAAATTATTATTTATTAATATATACATATTATCAATTTAAAATTATGAGAGCTTAAAAAATAAAATTAACTTTTTGTTATCGGAAATTGTACTAATATACTTCGACAAACAAAATGTAAATGCAAAGAAAATATTTAAGTTTCTTGCCGTTTACGTTTTGTTTATATATCTGCTGAGATATAAAACTACCCAGAAAGCAAGTGTTTAAAATCGGATTATAAAACGTCTTTTGCGTCACAAGATTTGCGACGTCTTTATGTCACAATTTTAGACTTTATATTGTCTGGGTAAAATTATTGTTTCAAGATTGCTCACTATAGATTTGTTCAAAATCTCGGCAATTTAGATTATATCCTACATCAGACCTATAGCTCTATGCACATCGACTGATTTTGCCTATCATAATCCCTACTCCTTTTCATAGCTTTTAAATATGGAGACATAAAATGATAGAGTTTATGAATATTAGTTGTAAATCATACAGGCCACGTAAGGCTATAGGACTTGAAATATAAAACTCGAAATGCCGATCGGTATGATCGAAATGTGCAAGTAAATCCCATTGGTCTAAACGCTATGAAACAAAAGGAGAAAAATACACAGAGAAAATATTTTCTTAGAGTTTACCCTGAAAATATGACAGTCGTGGGACAACATTGTATTTCCAAGACAACATTTTAATGTAAATCTTCATTCATTAATAAAATTATCTCCTTTATTCATATAATACTACTTCATTCATATAACACTACTAATAAAGTATAAAATAAGTTCGATTAATTTTACTGAAGTGTACAGTAAAAATGTTTAAAATATGTATTGTACCACAATTACCATATTTTCGGAGTAAATTTTGAAACAAAATTCTCTCCGTGTAGAAAAAAAAAAACAAAATTCTCTCCGGGTAGGGATGACGGTAGGCAAAATCGAAATGTGCAACTTGGTTCCAAGCCTATTCTACATCTTGGAAAATTTAGTCAATGTAAAAGAAATTGTAATTTGAATACAAACTTTAATTTCCTAGCAAACGAGAATTAAAATAGATCGAAATTTTTTTATATCCGAATGCGTATTTTAAATAGCGAATACTTTTTTTGAATTCAATTAGATTCAATTGGATGCAATTGGATTGAAAAACTATATTTTCTACTCAAAATTTTGAATTGAACAATATTCACATTGCATAGTAGAAAAAGCTAACATTATTTTTGAAAGGCATAAATATGCTCCATGCAATTCCTATAAATGAATAAAAATATTCATTTGAATTGAAAAACATTCATTTTAACATGCGTGAATCAATATTTCTGAAAATCTGAATCCATTTCAATTAATTTCAATCCATTCTCGTTTACTGGATTGATAACAGTAAATATTATTAATATATGCTTAAAATTTAATATTTAGTCTTGCGTTTTAGTTGAGATCCACAGAATTCTATCTCTGCCTTGGTAACAATTTTGCAAATTTGCATTTTAATATCTGCTTGGACTTCGTTAGGTAAATTCAACACAGTCTGTGCCATGCTCTCAAAAAATAATTCAATACTATTCTTGTTAGATTTGGATATTGTTTTACTACTAGTATGTAAATTTGTATCATATTTATTACAATTTTTATCATTATTAATATTACTACTATTCTTATTATTACTACTATTATTATTACTATTATTACTATTACTACTATTAGTGTTATTATTGTTATTACAATTACTTTTTGCTGTGACTTTTACGTTTGACTTTTCAGTTTTCACAATTTTAATAATTTTACTTTCATCGGTTATTGGTACAATATTTACGGTTTCATTTTTATTACTGACGTTAATGGTTTTACTGTTGACGGCTGTTGTGTTAATAGTCTTATTGTTGGCAACTACTGTTGTGTTAATGGTCTTACTGTTAATATCGCTATTAAAAATGTCTTTATTTTGCAAAACATTGTTGTCATTGCTAATTGGTGATTTGATATTTTTTATCTTGTCAGATTCATCTAAAGGTGTAACACGTGTAACGCGTGCAATGGTTACTTTTTCTTTCAGTGAACTTGGGAGAATAACACGATTTGATGGTAAAGTAGCCATATTCATTATTGGCAATCCAAATTTATGTCTTAACATAGATGAAGTAACAGGTTGTAAAGGTTTCGGTCGAATCGGGCGAAAACGATCCTTCTTCAAAGTTGTCTTCATATCCATGGAATAACTTTGCTTTGGCGAGGCTGAGATTTGTGAATTGTTGCTGTATCTACCTCTACCTCTACCTCTACCTCTACCTCTGCCTCTGCCTTTACTTCTACCTTTAAACTTCGTTGGCAAAATGGTAACATCAGCATGTTCTTCTATTGAGGGAACTTCCACAAAGTTGATATTTAAATTTTCAGGCTTGAAATTTTGTTCAGATTCCATCTCAATTTTGACAATGCTTTGATCGATTTCCTTATATGTTTGAGAGCATGTTGTTTTATCCATTTTTCGATTAACAAAAATCGAATTTCTTTAAAATCTTCTGAGTTTATATTATTCATTAATTCTGCAACAAAAAATATTCTATAAAACACTATATATCACTTAATATTTTTGTGTGTTAAAAAATTTCAGATTATTTCTCAAGTAATTATAATTATGATCTTTTGCAGTTCTATGTAGAGCTAAACATTTGCTCTCTTTTATTTCGTTCTTCAAATATCTAAGTTAATACACGACATTATAAGCAAATTATATTTTTAAATTTCCATACAAATTTTTTCAGAGTATTCTTAATTCATTAAAATTTCAATTAAATTGAAAATAAAATAATCCTCACTCATTTGTGAAAAACTAATTTAGAAAAAATTAAAAACAACCATATTTTTATCATAACATTCCTAAAAAGGATAGAAAAAAAAAGAAATAACTTTTTTTTTATTTTTTTCATGTATAACTTATTGGTAAAAAGAAACAAACATCTTTGCACATATCCTCTACACACATTTGAAATTTAAGAATGTGTGATAAATTTTTTCTTGTTTATACGCATATAATATTTTTTAAATGAAAATATTTTATGCATGCTAAAGGCATAGAAGAATATTAATTGTGATTAAAACTTAGCTATTATATATTTAAATGCGTGAGACTCCTGTTGTGTCAATTCTTAAATTTATATCACATTTGCACGTACGGAGTATCATGTTGAATCACAGCCAACTACCATGTTGTAACCGGTGTAATTATGAAAATGACACAGGAAAAACGCGTTGTACTCGCATAGCAAAACCAAGTTCGCATTAGAAAAAAAAACGATGAATTTATGTTAGTTTCAAATCGCGTCAACTTCGATTTTTCTAAGAGATCAATTCATTCGTAGAACAGTACCGTAATATCGAAATTAGAAAGCAACTTTTTCCACAACAATTGACGCAATAGATTCCGCGTTAACGGAAATAATAGTAAGGCTATCGGTAGCGTTGAACGGTGATTGAATGGATCGAACACGATTGGTTTTCGCCCAGCAAATTAGCCGTGGGCATTACATGCCTGAGACGTGACAATTCGTTGATGCTGAACACGTCGAATGAAATTTGTTGGATCGTCAGATCTAAAAGTAAGAGCCAATCGTTTTAGCTGCTCGACGAATTGTATTGTGGCTCAATGGAAGATGACAAAGCGTATTCGATGTTATTTTCTTGTCCGTTATGGAAGATGGCAAAGCGTATTCGACATTATTTTTTTGTCCGTTGTAAGTTACTTTGAAGATGGCAAGCTTCTGGATAAATTTACGTTGTTTTCACAATGGAATAATTAAAGATCATTGAAAAATTAATATTTTGATTGATATAAATATCTGAATAAGCTTATATCGCACTGTTAAATCGATATTTTATTACGTATATATATTTATTATACACACACACGACACACACACACACACACACACACACACACACACACACACAATTATCGTGCAGATTTATTATTATGCAATAAATATACATGTTTACTAACACTATCTCTATCACTAACTCTAATATAATAATATATATATTTTATATACATATATTACATATTAGATAAATATTATATATATATATATATATATATATATATGTGTGTATATACATGTAATATATATGTATATGTAACATAAAATATGTTATATATCTACAAATGTAATAAAGTAATAAAATTAATATTACAAGCTAATCCTAAATTTTGGCGCAATTTACATATATATCTAAATATTAAATAAATAAATATAAGTATTAAATTTATTTTACAATAGCTCATGCTCATAATCTTCTTTTTATTTTATTGATTTTTCAATACATTCGCTAAGTTTTGTTTTAATTTGCTTATTTCTAAATTCATTAATTTAAGAAATTTATTCCTTAATAAATTCATATAATAATTTGACTAAGACTGTTAATCAAAAGACTTTTATTTATGATAAAGAGAAAGAGGAGAAAGAAAAATCGGAAACTGCTTTGAAAATTGCCTAACATTCGTACACACTTTCATTGTGACAGTTAAATAAAAAATTTATGAAAAAAATAAATTTTTTATTTGTCTCAATTTTTCTCATTTTTCTATTCGAATAAGATATTGACATATATAGAGCATTTCGCAAACACATATTCAACTACGAGAACTTTATAGAATTATGTACAAATGATTTTAAGTAAAAAAAAATTATGACAATATGCATACATTTAATTAATAACTTAATTTAAAATAAATTTAATAACTCAATTTCGAATAAAAGTGCATCTCTCTTGTTTCCCTCCATCGTAATATAGTGATATTTGTCGTTTTTATTAATATTTTCATTAATGGGAGATAGGCGTTATCGATCCGATTGGCGGATCCTGCCACTTAAATTCCTCTTGATAGGTGACATAAACTACCCAGTAGCAGACATTGAGTAGACCGAAAGACGCAGGAAAGACTATTCGCGCTACCCTGTCGATGTAAGATACGCTATTTATGTATCTCTTTGACATACGATTGCCGCGTTTTCGATAGTTGCTAGCCACTTCCCGTTGCCGGCGACGCCTGTAATTTTAGATATTAATTATAGTATCTCTTTCGCACAATACAAATGTAATTATTAATAAAAGAAGTAACAAAAAAGAAATAAATAAACAGAAAATACTTATAAGATAAATATGTAGAAAATCGTGGGAAAAAATGTTTTATATATAATTATATAAAATTATATATAATTATATATAATTTTATATAATTGTACATAAAATTTTATACAACTTATATATATACAACTTTATATATAAAATTATATATAATTTTATATGTAAAGAAGATAGAACTATATTAATTAAAATCTATTAATTAGGATAAAAATTGAACAGAGACATATTGTAGTGCGATATCGCGTATTTATAAAATTTTTCTTAATTCATATACCT